ATGCTTTTGCCTGGTTTGCACAGAGAAGAATCAGAGAAATAAAAGACTAAGTTGAACTTTATAAAAGCTAACATTTACCCAGGAATATAAGAAAAATCTATATTAAATAACTTGGCAACAACAACAACAATAACAACACAGCACCTCAGAATTTAAAATAAAAAAATAGGTACATTATGGGTTTCATTCCCAGGAAAGTAACTATAACCACCTCCTCTGAGGTAGAGTATAAAAATAGAAAAGACATGGGATACAAGAATTATCCAATTGTTTTCTTTGGGGAGATTATATGTTCGAGTGTGGATCTCCTATACTTCCTTTCTTGATCAGTGAGAATTCTTGAAATATTTTTTCCCCTGGCTTATTGTTTATCCCAGAAGCCTTTATACATTATTTGAAAGAAGTCAAGCTTTTTACCAACTTTATTTAAAACTACCTTGCGCATCTTCAAGATTGGCCCAGTTAACCCTTTAACTGTCACTATTTACTAGCAGTGTGATCTCAGGCAGTGTCCTCATCTGAGAAATGGAAATAATATTAGCTTGGTTATTTCAGTATTGAGTGATTGTTTTTTTCCATCTATAAAAGACAGTGTCTGACCCATGGTCACTGTCATGTAAATGTTAACTGTTTATATTACCTAAGAAATACATACTTTTCAAAGGCTGAGTGACATTAATCATCCCTGCAAGGTATTCCATGCCTCCAAGAGAAATATAGACAATAAAGAATTGGCATTTAGTGATAACTATTTCTCACGTTCCTGATCATAATGAATAAATAATGACACATTTCTCTGTCATAGTGCCTAATCTGACTCTAGATTTTGAAGTCAAAATAACTTTGTTCTGATATGAAGAAAACTTAAAATTTCCCCTTTCATCACCTAGTTAACTATGACATATTTGTTTGCCACAATACCTAAATCCATTTATTTTAAGACTTTAGTTTTTCAGAATTTAGTTTTGAACTACTATAATTTAATAATAATTCTGGTTAAGTTCATATAAAGTCACTTAATTCATTTATCTTTTCAGTTTGATTTCATAACCCTCATCTCTTTCCAAACCCTTACAAAAACAAACAAAAAGCCCTACATCCTTTCTATAAAGAGAAGCCGTTAATCTCAAATTCTTAACTAGATTACGCAGTTTGCACACATTTTGGCTTGTCTTAGTGTTTGTATTTCACCTGTCTTAGAAGCAGACAGACTCAGCTTTCACTAGTTCTTAGAATAATACCTGCTGTCATGGATTAAGCATTTGGCAAGTCTCTTTCTCTGTATATACATACCGACAGTTGGGAGTGAGGGGAAATTAAAACACTTTTTTTTTCCATTGGAGGAAAAAAAAGAAATAGTGCTTAATGCTTTTCATTGTAAGTGTGACATTAAGGTCCTGTGTTACTGATTTGCTATGACTTTGTATAGTTGTTTGCTTTTCACATTGAATCCGTAAATATTGTTTAATATTTTTTCAAAGTCTTTTATGCTTACACATGATAAATATGTGACTTCCTCAGAATTCATCAATCAAGATACCCTATATTATTATTATCATTATTATAAAAGTTAAATTATGTATTTTTAGAATGTATACATTCCTCTCCATCAAATAAAACAAAGCACTGACATCTGTATTGGTATATTTCAGAAATAACTTTGGTGTTAAACATCAGATTTCTTATGTATAAGTATGTGAAATTGCTTTTTGTTAAACAAATTTATTAATTTTGTAGAGAAGCTCAATTTAACAATTAAGTAACATTTTTTTATCCATTCATCTATTGAAGGGCATCTGGGTTGGTTCCACAGTCTAGCAATTGTGAATTGTGCTGCTATGAACATCGATGTAGCAGTATCCCTGTAGTACGCTCTTTTAAGGTCTTCAGGGAATAGTCCAAGAAGGGCAATAACTGGGTCAAATGGTGGTTCCATTCCCAGCTTTCCCAGGAATCTCCATACTGCTTTCCAGATTTGCCGCACCAGTTTGCAGTCCCACCAGCAATGTACAAGAGTACCCTTTTCCCCCACATCCTCTCCAGCACTTGTTGTTGTTTGACTTCATAATGGCTGCCAATCTTACTGGAGTGAGATGGTATCTTAGGGTGGTTTTGATTTGCATTTCTCTGAGTGCTAGAGATGGTGAGCATTTTTTCATGTACTTGTTGATTGATTGTATGTCCTCCTCTGAGAAGTGTCTGTTCAGGTCTTTGGCCCATTTGTTGATTGGGTTATTTGTTTTCTTATTGTTTAATTTTTTGAGTTCTTTGTATACTCTGGATATTAGGGCTCTATCTGAAGTGTGAGGAGTAAAAATTTGTTCCCATGATGTAGGCTCCCTATTTACCTCTTTTATTGTTTCTCTTGCTGAGAGAAAACTTTTCAGTTTAAGTAAGTCCCATTTGTTGATTCTTGTTATCAACTTTTGTTCTATGGGTGTCCTATATGCACCATGGAGTATTACGCAGCACTAAAAAATGACAAAATCATAGAATTTGCAGGGAAATGGATGGCACTAGAGCAGATTATACTTAGTGAAGCTAGCCAATCCCTAAAAAACAAATACTAAATGTCTTCTTTGATATAATGAGAGCAACTAACAACAGAGCAGGGAGGAAGAGCAGGAAGAAAAGATTAATATTAAACAGATACATGAGGTGGGAGGGAAAGGGAGAGAAAAGGGAAATTGCATGGTAATGGAGGGAGTCCCTCATTGTTATACAAAATTACATATAAGAGGTTGTGAGGGGAATGGGAAAATAAACAAGGAGAGAAATGAATTACAGTGGATGGGGTAGAGAGAGAAGATGGGAAGGGAGGGAGGGGGGATAGTAGAGGATAGGAAAGGTAGCAGAATACAACAGTTACTAATAGGGCATTATGTAAAAATGTGGATGTGTAACCGATGTGATTCTGCAATCTGTATTTGGGGTAAAACTGGGAGTTCATAACCAACTTGAATCTAATGTATGAAATATGATATGTCAAGAGCTTTATATTGTTTTGAACAACCAATAAAAAAATAAATTAAAAAAAAATTAAAAAAAAACAATTAAGTAACAACCTGAACAATTGGAGCTCATGAAAGTAGAATAAATTCTAAACTTAATATTTATATATTCTTATACTTCTAAATTAAGACATGGCTATGCATAACCAAATCTCACCATTTCTAAGATTTTAATGTTTGTCTCCTAAAAAGTCAACCAAGAATGCAGTATACCCCTACTAAAATATTTACATATTTACCAACTTTTCTTGGGTTTTATTCTTTTGAAAAATAGTGTTGATGAGTGCTTTCCTCTTGGGTAATACAGCTAACTAACATAATTATTAATTGTGGGTGTGTTGCATCCTTTGCAGAAGTCATTTCTCATGTATGCCATGTAAAATGACGATGACATTTCTTTCTATTTGAAAGAAAGTCTTATGTGCTTATAATTTCCTCCTTGCATTTGGAATACTTGAGTCATGCCAAGGATTAATTTTGGTTTGAAATAGACAGAAAACGATTGAGTTAAAAATATAGAAGTGTATTCAGCTGCAATGAACCTACCCAACCTTAGAAGGAACACTTCTAAAATAAGTCAAGGATTAAAACTGCCACCAGTGGAACTGGAACTTGGGCAGCCGGTGACATAAACTAGTGTTAGCATTGGCAGCACAAAGGGAGCAGTCCTGACACAAGAAGGAAGTGGGACCAGGTCTGGAACAATTTCTGTTATGTATTAGACACAAATAGTCTTTTCTTCAGTATCAGACAGGTATGCATTCCTATTCCAGCAACTTTATCCCCTCATGCTGATCATGGATAAATCAAGATAATTGTTTAAAATTCCTTGCTTCATTTGGGTTTTCTTCATATCTTATTTAAATCCTGTAGTGTGTGAATCTTATTCATAACCTGTCCAATTTAGCTTTCTGACTTTTCCACAGAAAAAAACTTTATTTATATACACACATATTTGCGCACACACACTCAAAATAGATGCAGCATGCAATAGCTCTGAGGACATTGGAAAGATGTGAAGTCCCCATGCCCTGTTAAATAGGCCACAAAGCTGTTTTACAGATGTAGCCTCATGTGGTCTGTCTTCAGTTTCAAATCGAAGAGATATTTTTTTTTTTTCAGCAGTAGGGCAGCAAATGTATGTGTTTAGAAAAGGAGAAATTTGAGTATCTATAACTAAGCATGAAGTCACATAATTATCTAATTACTTTTGTTGAGATTGGCAGTAAAAACACTGGAGAAAGGTGGAGGTAGGGTGCTAGTAGCTGTTGGGTAGCAGTTGGAGAGAAAATAAGCACCATAACTGTTTTTAATAGTTTAAAAATAATGTTTATAAGAAATACTTATATTTTTCATAAAGCCAAATATTAGCAAAAGAACTTCTGAGTTGTTTATTAATTCTCATTACACACTTGTAATTTACTTTTTTTTTTTAATACTTAAAAATTCAGGTCCATGGAATTGTACGGCGATCCAGTTCATTTAATACAGGTAGAATTGAACATCTATATAAGAACCCCCAGGCTCATATTGAAGGAAGTAAGTCATTTTCTTTTCTAAAACCTTTGTCTATAAACTTCCTATCTTCAGAGAAGATGTTGTCAAATGTCATTTTTCTCAGAGTGCATCTAGTCATAATTATTTGCCCATGTATTACTGTATTGAATATGACCAGCATGTGCTGAAAACCTTCCTGGTTGCTTACTTAGGCCATTGTATCATCTGGGTTTGACCGTTAGAGGGAAATTGGATAGGTGGCTCAGAGAGACCTATCCAGGTGATCACCCCTCTCCAGGTGTCCCTGTCCCCGCAAATAAAGAGTAGTTCTACATAGAAAGAACACTCTTTTGCTTTTTATATGTGATCAGTTTACTCAAGTTAAACAATGTGTAGACATTTTAATTAATTTTTAAAATAATTTGTGAAGATAGATTCAAAACCTTGTGGCAATTAAAACTATATTTAAATTGCTTTACCGATTATTGTTAAGATTTATAGCTTTTTTTGTTGTCATTGTTAGTAAATTCGCCTGTGTTGTAGCTGCATGGTTTACACAGTACAATTACAGTGTTTTCTTACTTGTTCTTTATAGCAACTCCACAAGTTGTTAGAGAGACTATTTTGTACATGAGGAAATGGAGACAGAGGTGATTTTATCAACGTCAAACACCACCAAGAAGGCAGAGTGGGACTAGAACACAGAGCTCTAACTCCAAATTCAGCCTGCAGTATTCAGCCAGTTTTTATAGCTAGCAAGGGTGATATAGTCAATTTATAAATGATCAATGATTTTGTATTCACCTCCAAGTCCTGAATATTTGGAAGATTGGGTTATTTTTTCAGGTAGTAATCATCAAGAAGGTGATCCAGTTTGTCCACAGAAAAGACTTTTCACCTTATTGCAGAGTACGTTCTTCTTGAAAATTATTACAGGTATATTGAATATCCCTTTTCCCAAATGCTTGGGACCAGAAGATTTGGGTTTTGAATTTTTTCAGTTTTTGGAATACTTGCATATACATAATGATATAGCTTGAGGATAAGACCCAAGTCTTAAAACAGAATTTATTTGTTTCACATATTTCTTCTAAACACAGACCAAAGGTAATTTTATACAATATTTTAAATAATTTTGTGTATTAAACCAAGTTTCATGATGTGGAATTTTATACTTGTGGCATCCTGTCAGCACTTAAAATCATTTCAGATTTGGAGCATTTCAAATTTTGAGTTTTCTGATTAGGAATGCAGTAGGTTTGATCCTCAGCACCAAAATTAACAAACAAACAAACAAACAAACAAATAAAGGTATTACGGTGGGGGGGGAAAGAAGCAGCAATAGACAAATGTTAAACATGGACCACCACAGGAACACAGGTAGAGAGATAATGATAAGATCAATATTTTAAAAAAATAATGAAATGATCAAATTACCCATCTATACATTTTAAATTCTTACACTAATGAAGTCAGTATAAGGATCAACTTAGATGTAGGAATTGGAATAGGCTAGTTGTCCTAATCACAGTTATGTTACAGTGTCAGACTTTTCATAGATAGCTTAAGGTCTGATGTTTATAATGTATTTATAAATCAGTAGATGAAAGTATATGAATAAACGTAACAAATATGAGCTATTGTTACTATCATCAGTATGTTATAGATGTGCTTAGAATGTATATGCATTCTTACAAAATTTTATTTGCCTGAAAAATCACTCTTACATAACACATCTTCCAACTGCTTGGAGTTCTAAAATGTATTAATTGTTTAACATCTGTTATTGTATGGTAATGTTTTAAAAAGTTCATCTGATTTTATCCCTATAAATCCTTCATAGATATAGGAAATATATGTAAATATCTTTCTACTGTGTAGGTTCATTCTTTGTTTATTTTTATGATGCTGGGGACAAAACCCAGTACTGTGAATGCTAGGCAAGTACTCTATCACTGAGCTACATTCTTACCCCATAAGTTCTTTAAAGATGATAGCTATATTCTGCTGCTCCAGGACAACATTTCCATTCTTACCCTGGTTTACAGACATTGTAAGTGTATGCATTTCAAGTCTGATATTTTCAAAAGTTGAGCTTTTATTGTTTTCTTTTATCTAATGGTCGGTTTTTGAATTCTAAAGACATGAAGTTGCACTATGGAGATCTTACTGATAGTACCTGCCTCGTGAAGATTATCAATGAAGTAAAGCCTACAGAGATTTACAACCTGGGAGCCCAGAGCCATGTCAAAGTAAGCCATTTTCATAATCATTTTCTCTTTAGCTGTGTTCCTGTGGTGGTCCATGTTTTACATTTGTCTGTTGCTTCTACTTTATTTTTCTTTTTCCCTAATTCATTCATCTATCCCTCCCTCCCTCCCTTTCTTCCTTCCTTCCTTCCTTCCTTCCTTCCTTCCTTCCTTCCTTCCTTCCTCCCTCCCTCCCTTCCTTCTTTCCTTCCTCTTTCTTTTTCTTTCTTTCGCTGAGGATCAAACCCAGTGCATCATATGTCCTAGGTGAGCACCCTACCTACCACTGAGCTACAACTGCAGCCCCTGTCTGTTGCTTCTTAACTTAATAATCCACCTGTCCTAGTCTTCAAATTTAACCATCCATGTTAATTTGGTTATTGACCCTAAGGGAAATAGAGGTTTTCGAAGGTATGTTTTCCATTACTGAACAGCATAATATAATCTTACTGCTAACATTCAAATAACAATATTCATTTATTTTGTTTTTCCCAGTAGTCATGACCCCAGCAGGGTTTGTTAACTGCCATTTCAGATCACATTATGAATAAAATTTTGTTAAAATTTTGGAAGATTTAACTCAGTAAAACCTTAACTTTAATTTTTATTAGTGACTACTATAACTAGTTAAGAATATTTTTTGAATCTCAATTGTATGTTAAAATTAGCTGAGTTAACTTTTTTATGGTAGGTGGTAAAAATCATTGGAAGAAAGCCTTTTAGCCTCTTCTTCCTCAGTGTGACACAGCTAATGTCTACTCAAATTCTTTGTTGTTCTACCTTCTTCTTTTTTGTTCTTTCTGGAGCCAATCACTGTAAACCAGTGAAGCGCCCCCCCCAGACTTCTCACCATCTGCTTCACTTAGGGTGTTGTATTTGTGTCCTACTATTCCTTTGGTGAGTGAAATTTGAACCCAGGATGATGTGGGTTCTATTTAATGAAACTTATTTAATGAGCATAGTTAGTGAAGTTTAAAAATAAAAGCAAATGACTTTTAATTTTAAACCTCACTCCCTGCCAAAAAAAAAAGAAGGTCCAGAAAAATCTACCAGCATTTTTTGCTATTTAATGAACAAATTCAGCAATTTTATTTTGGGAAGTATTTAACATCTTTTGAAGTTTCTCCATGTCCCCAGCTTTTCAAAGAAAGAAGGCTATATGCCTATTTCCTATAGCTCTTCTAGTTTGAGATGAAGTTATGAACTGAATCTCAAAACATTGCAATTGATAAGAGATTAAAAATTTGGTTGTCAATCTTCATAATAATTTTTCTGTAAGAAAAATTGAAAAATGACCACATATCCATCATAAAGATATCTTTTAACTTCTGATCTGTGCTATCTAGGAAAAAAAATTTTCCCTTTCCTTTTTTATCCCTAGTGCTAGCCCACACTCTGCCTGCATGCTCCACCTCCAGCTGCTTTTCCCTTTCTTAATATGTAATGATTCTGTTTGATATCCAGGTTTAAAATTTGGTCTGGAAAGGAATGGTATTTTAGGTATATTATTCTTGAGAGATTAATCTACCTCTTTGCTAAAAAGAAGCAGTAACTCTTAATCATTCCAGAAATGACGATCTTATTTTCCTTAATTGAGGCAGTCAGTCTGTCTTCCACATTATAATTCATCTGACTGTTTTTGACCTTCCTGACCAGCCATGAGAGTATCTTCCAGACAAAACAGAATGTTTTGGAACGAGCACTCTGTTATTCAACTTAGGGAAGATTAAGAAGTTTGCTTTGTGATTGTAGATAGGTTATCACCTCTGGAAGACATGAACTGGCATGGCAGAAGGACGTAGGACATTCTATAAAGGTTTATTTATAGAAGTCTTTCCCTCTGTCATTTTAGTGTATTAAATGACCTGATCCTTTCCTTCTCCAAAATGTATTTGTAGTTCAAAAAATGTTTTATTTCCTTAGTTGTAGTGTGCATAATAGTTTTTAGTTATCATTCCAGAATAGTTATACTTAAGTAATATAGAGAAAAGGAGATTGAGTTGATTCCTTCTAAGTTGCCATGTATGTGAAATTTTCTGTTTTACCTTCCTTTGACTACCTTCCTGATAGATCAATGGTCCTCAGTTGAGAGTTTTGGTTTGTGAGGTTATTTAATCCTTTAACAAAGATTTGTTAATGTATACCTAATATAAGGTAACTTACATGCTATACTAAGGACAAGAGATGTATAAATTCTACTTCTACTGTAGAGGTTTCAACTTTAGTATAGGTGATTTGCAGCAAGGACCACAGGCTGGCACTGAGTCTTCCAGTCTTTAGAGGAAGGTGAGAAATAACTTTCATCTGAGGGGATATGGGTAGTGTCAAGGAGGAGCTGGTGCTGGCGCTAATCTTAAAGTATAGGAGGGTATTTACATATACAGTGGGAAATGGGCAGTTGAAATGGAGGTTATAACATAAAGTCAAGAGTTAGAAGTCAAAAAAACCTCAAGCCACGTTTGGAGCATGATGAGCATTCAAATGATCAGTTGAGCAGAAAGAATATGGAGGAGTATTGTGGGGCCAGGCTAAGGACGAACAGGGGAGAAATAGATATGAATCTTAGGGATCAAAATCTAGAAGTAAGATGCAGAAGACACAGAAACGTGTTGGATGTGGATGGCAGCATCAGAAATGGGGGCAGGAGGAAGGAACAGGATGTCCAGCAACACTGATTCTTCTTCTTACTAAATATAGTCACCAGGGAAGAGATCCCCCAGTGCTTAGGGGATCAGACAGTTGATGGGACAACTCACTGTCAGGTGTTCTACTGGTAATACGTGAAGACCATGCAAAGGAAGCAAGTCATGAGATAGTTTTAAAAAGTTTTGAGGTTTGGGAGAGTTTGGGGGTGCAAGTATACATTCAGTATTCAGAGTCCTTGAGATGCCAGGTAGCAGCTGGAGAAAGAGGGCAAAGAGTTAAGATTGAACCTCTAGGACTTTACTGTAGTTAGAGGAGAAAGGAGAATTGGGCTGATGGCAGGAACAAGAGATGAGAGGCAGTGGGTGGAATTTTCCTGGAAGTTGGGAAGTCAGATCATTTCAAGCAGGAAAGGATAAATCTAGGGGAGAGAGGGCCAGAAAAAGGTCACTGGCCTTGTCAGTAAGGCTGGAGATGACTTTGGACTTTTATTTTTGTGTGAGTGAGTGTGTGTGTGTTTTTCTGGGGATGGAACTCAAGGCATCACACATGCAAGACATGCATTCTACCACTAAGCTACATATCTAATGCCTGACTTATGACTTTAAAAAAAAGCATTTTGGTGATAGGATGGAATAAGTTAGTGAGAACAGAGGAGGTTTAGAAGTTGACAGTTTATGAGGGAAATGCAAACTGAGTGGATTCTTTTCTCAGATTTCTTGGTAGAAAGACAAGAGAATATACTAGATGACAGATGTATCAGCATCCCCGCAGGTTTCCAAGTCCCTTCCCAGAATCTTAAGTCTGTAGTGAGGTTTGAGAACTTGCATTTCTAGGAGATGTCCAGGTGATGCCTAACCCTCATCTGAGGACAATACTTTGAGAGCTGTTACTCTGGTGTTTCAGGTTTCTTGGTTTATCCATGTAGAGAATGTGTCTCAAATGCATTCTTCTTTGACTTTCTTCTTTAATGTATGAGTTTTTGAGTTTGATAAAACATAGTTCTGTTACTCATCAGTTAATGCTATGGACTTTTAAAACCCCAAACACTATCTGCAATTAGGCATGGTGAGACTGGAAAGAGACTGAAGAGAATCTGATATACCTTTATGCTAAAGATCTTCACATTCATAAATCTTCCTTTTTCAAAATAGTATAGACAGTCCATGAGAATAAATACTTCTCAGTTACTTCTAACATTTTAAAGAAATAGTATGAGTACAAACCATGGTAGGCATGTCCTACAAAATCTCATGCTTCATACCTCTGTTTCTGCTGTGATCTAAGATAGGTTGATTCTTAGTCACAGGGAGAGTGGGCATAGAGAATTGGGATCCTGATGAAGGCCCTTGGGTGCTGACTTTGCTCACCTGCCAGGCAGCTGGGGCATGCTGCTCTGTCACTAGACCACTCTAGGCTCTGTCTGTTTTCATAGTAGCTTGTTTTGGGATTCTATTGGAAACTACATATTTTATTTTTTTTCAATTAATTTCAGTATTACTCACCTTTGCAGAATTTATTGTACTTCCAGATGATATACTTTTTTTTTTAAATGAATAAGTTCTTTCTGACCGTGGAATGCTTGCAATAGATTAAATAAAATAAATGTCTTATTGTTTGGTGCTCTTTTGAAAGAGGTTTCTAATATTAGCACATTTTGTATTTAATTCTGAATCTATGACTTTTAGAGTGTTTGTTTTGGCTTCTCTTTGTGTGGAATAAAGTCTTCTATCACTCTCACTTCCAGTTAATTTGATGTGGGCTATGATATACTAAAAGTAAGGAAAATAAAATAATAGGAAGTTGGTCTGGTTTCCTGTAGGAAACCAGTGAAGATGAAATTGGTTCTTGGAATAAGCCCACAGCAGTCTGGGAAATACTGACTGAAGACATTTTTCTGAATCATAAACAGAAAAATTATGACTCATGAAGTAGGTCATTGAAAGGCTGATTTGATCTTATGTGGGAGAAAGTGAGGGATGACTGAAATGTACTAGTTATTAAAAGTAGTTAAACCTAGCATGATGACATCATCCAAGTAGGAACAAATTATCCAATATGTGGACCTGCCCATTTTGATGGAAAAAAAAGTTTTAGGAACCTGCTTTTTTGAGATTAATAGGGTATTTTTCCTGTGTAAATAATAGTGTTTCTAGGCTGTGTTCAGCATTCCTTGCTGTCATGCCTTTGGATTTGTCCACTGTTTCTTGCAGCTTCTTTGATAACCTCACGTCACTTTTGAAGTCATAGTGTTGGACGAGCTCCGGTGAACCTAGTCCAGTATTATTTCCTTTCGTCTCACAATATCATGTTAGAATTGCCTTTTTCTTTTTTCAAGAAATGAAAACATGGAATGTTAG